GCAAGCTGTATTAAGTGAGGAACATTTCTGCATGTAGAATCTATTTTTTAAATGGATCAGAATCCAAATCCTTTGTCTTAAGTTTTTTTTTTTCTTTTTATGACAAGGTTTTGGTCCACCTAGGATGTTAGTGATATGACCTTCACAAGCCTATTATCAGAGCATCATGGAATCTTTAATATCTCTAGTTTCCCAGTGCCTGTCTGAAGCAGGAATCTGCTATTGCCCCCATTTTGCAGATAGACATTCTAGGTGAATTGAAGCACAGAGAAACGCACACACCCTAGACCCTCAAAGGCAGTTAGGCACCAGTTAGGCAGTGTGAAACTTTGGTCGCTGATTCAATTCGGCAGAGATTCGGCCCGATTCGGTGGCAGAATCTCCAAATCCAAATTGAATCAGAGGACCATTTAATCTTTCCAAATTGAATCGGAGCCCTCCAAATCATTTCGGAAAGATTCAGAGATTCGGACAGACACAGCTTTAAATGTTTTTTCTACGTATGTCTAGGTAGCAGGTGACTCGTGAGTGCTGTGATGCTGGGGCACGTGGAGTGTCCCACAGAAGTACAGGGGACTCCCCAGGCTGCTCGGCAGCAGACCCAGAAGTGCACTAGAAGCACTTCTGGTCCATTTCCGGGTCTGCTGGGGAGCACACTGGGCCCCCCCCCCATACCCGATTTTTCAGCGACTGGTGTCTCCTAGGTCTGGGGGGGGGGCACCTGGGGTCCCCCTGCTCCTGATTGCTGAGCTGGGGGAGCATGGGGGGGGACCCCTGTCCACTCCCCAGCGGACCTGGAAGTGGACCAGAAGTTCTTCCAGTCCACTTCCGGGTTTGCTGCCGAGCACGTGGAGGGCCGCACCGCACTGCTGTGGGATGCTGCATGCGCCATAGCATCACAGTAATCATGAGCCGTGCGTGGTACCTGGAGGTATGTAGAAAAAACTTTTAAAGCTGTGTTCATGTCCGAATTGCTGATTCTCCAAATCAGCATTGAATCTTCAGATTTGGATTCAGCTGAATCGAATCGGGGACAGCGATCTGAATCAACACATCAAATCACTGTCCCTGATTCAGGCCAAATCTGAATCACGTAGGGCCCTCTTTGCACACCCCCACACCTAACACCCGTTAATTTCAAATGCAATGTCTTTGCATTTTATAAGGGTTTGCCACACTTTGAGACCCTCATGCAGGTTATTCCTATTGAAGGCCGCACAGTTAAAGAATTCTTGTGCAACCTTTGGCAGAAGCTTGCAACCTTTGACAGCTGTGCTGAAATCCCTAAATCCATCCTCAGTCTCCTGAAACAAGTGTCCCATTTTGAACCAGAGGCATTCAGCAACTCTGAAAAGTATGCAGCTTAAGTGTCGCACCCAGAGGCCGACATTTTTAGCCTTAGCTCTCCTTGCTTCACTCGCCCCATCTGGAAATGGAGGCTGCTGTCCACCTTTGTGATATACCTTGAAATCTTAGCATAAACAGTACTATTTAAAACACTGTTCTGCATGATGAGTTTGTCAGAGCTGATGTCAGAAAGTCCTTCCTGTTCCATCCTCCCTGTTCTTGGTGAAGCACCGAAACATATGGCAAATGAAGTCTGATTTTTACTCAACTTTTTCATCTGCATGGGACTTATCTGGGATTGGGGAATGCACTTTCTTTGAATTTAAGAGCCATTTTATGAGAATCTTAATTAGAGGATGTTAATGTTCTGACTATATTGCTGAGAGCATGTAGCTCCCTCTTGTGGCTAATTAAACATTAAAAAATCAAACTTGGGGGGAAAAAAAGAATTATATCGGTTGTCACTGCTGTTCCCAAAGAATAGTATACATGCAAGACCTGAGCTTCTCTGTTCTTCCCATGCCTACAGCTATTGTTTGTCATTCCCAGATGCACTCATGTTACCAGCAAACTCCTAGAGCCGAAATAGTGGTGGGGCAATTTAATCTCCATTCCTATTGTCCGGATTTCGTTTTGCAGCAGTGGATTCTAGAAGTGACCTGCATTGGGAGGTGGTACCAATGCAGAGGAGAGTCTTTCAGGTCTTGCCAGTGGTAAAATTGCCTGGATGTGTTTCTTTTTGAGCAGATTTGTAGGAGAGAAGGGCCTGGTCTTGCTAGTTCCCACAACAGCTAGGATTCTTAAGCCCAGCTCTCTACTTCCTGAAGCTCTGATAAGAGGAATGGGTCAGTTATTCACCCTGCAAAATTCAGATCTGTAGTCACCCTGAAAATGGCCTGCATATAACTTCTGCAGGAGTGGAAATTGCACGTGCCCAACTGATGGCATATGGTTACAGGAGTGTGCAGAAGGACTCTCTCCCAAAATATGACAGAAATGGGACCCAAGGCTCTGCTAAGGTGGAAGACGGGTTATGGCCTGTTCCCGGATGAGTGTAAACAGATTGTGATACCAGATAGACCTCACCCATGTCACAACCTGCTATAATGCTAATTAACCTTTGTCAAGAGATGACAGGAACTTAAGAAAGCTTCTCATGTTGGTAAGATAGGTGCCAGGTTCCATCATGTCTCTCTTGTTTTGCTGCGGCATATTGGGAAATACATGAGGAACAACTCCTTCCATTTGTTTTCTTGAACAGGAGGAGACAAGACAAAACAGAGTTTTGCTCTTAAATTTCCCTTCAAATTCTTTGAGAACTGAAACTTTATCTGCAGAAATATTTTATTTCGTGTCTTGGGGCAATGTTGTCCTTATTTAAAAAAATAAAAAAATAAAAAGAGAGAGAAATTATTTTGAGGTTTAATAAAAAAATCTTAGTGCCCACTAATCTGCAAACCAGCTTTGCTGAACCCACAGCAACGTGGCAACAAACATGCATTTCCTCAGGGACGTTATTAAACTCTGCATATTTATTGCCTCCAAATGGGAGTAGTTCCAGATTCCTAATGCCGCCTTTTTCTTTCCTTTGCCTGAGCTGTGATTCAGACCAGCACATAAATATTTGACTTATTGTTTCTGTGGAAACATTAACAATATAACATTGGTAGAAACAAAAAGAACTTGGAAAAACAGCAATAGGAAGGAATGGTTTGGCAAGACTGTCAGCCTTAAAGAGCAAGATTAATTTATAATCCTCCTAGATTCTGGTGTATAAATACAAATTTGCAAAGCATGCCGCTTGTGACAAACACTTGGTAGTTCTAGAAGTTTACACACGCTTCTGCCCACTAATGCGATATACGTTTGAATAGAGATTTTCTCAAATGGGGGAAGGAGGCTGTGAAAGCCAAGAATATACTCACGCAAAGAGCAGGAATTCCATCTTTGTGACTAAAGCTATTTCCTGGGCATGACACCCAGATGTTTTCAGTAGGAGATTTTACTTGCTTTAACAACAGAGGGAGGACAGCAGGAAGATGGGGGCATGAGAAAATATGAAGCACAATGTTAATCTTTCTTTCAACTCATTTGAGATCAATAATAACCTTCACCTAAGTAGGAAACACTGCATATTAATAGCTGCTCACAATGAAACAAGTCTCCACACTTTTATCCCAGTCCAATTGAACGTGTTTCTTTCTCCACTTAAACGACAAATATGGATCTCTTACCATTGAGACCTGATGAATAATGTCTTGCATTCAAAACCTTGCCTAGCTCTATCCCAATGATTCAGTTGGTCCAATAAAACATACTGCCTAAGAAATCCTTGCTTCTTAAATAAAATCAAATCATAGTCCCTCCTCATTGGGCAAGTTCTGTAGCAGCAGGGTAATGGCAACTTGGAAAATAAGTAACAGGGGCCAAGAGGGATACATTAATACTTAGCATTACGATCCTGTGATTAATCCTCTTGACTGTTTCCATATCTAATAATAAAAGTGCGCTCTTTTGTCTGTGAGATTAAATCTTTCAAATACAGTTTCATTTTTGAATGGGAAGAAATAAAAATACCAACTATGCCTTTTCTTCCACATGAGGAAAAAGCTAAAAAAAAAAAAAGTTTGTGTCAAATTACAGTGTTTGTAACATTTTTGATCCGTTGGGCCCTAACTCGTTTGCTTTCTCTGCACAGGTTATCAACAGTGATAGACCGGAGGGATCAAAGTTTCGAATCTCTGGGAAGGGAGTTGATCAAGACCCAAAAGGAGCTTTCAAAATTAATGAGAACACTGGGGAAGTCTCAGTGACACGGGGCCTTGATAGAGAAGCAATTGCCAATTACGAAGTAAGTAGACTTAAAATTGTGCCCTATATCCCATTCGCAGTGCGTCTTTTCCTGTATTTCTGGAGAGCTGCTTTTTTTGGAACTGCAACAGATTTGATTATTTTATCACTATTGCCCTTCTCCTACTTCTGTCAAACTTGCAAGTAGTTTCCTTTCGCAGAAACAACTTCTGGATGTTGTCAGTTAGGTGCAAAATCAATAGATTTCATATATTTTCATGTCTGAGAATAATGTTTACAGGCCAACCAAACACCATTGTGCTTTGCCTATGTTAATTCTACCATCTGTGAATTTAGGGGAATATTGTGTGGAAATCAAGCGCACAGTTGATTTGTGAAAGCAAAAAAATTCTTGGACAAAAGGAGGTTGTCTATGGAAAAGGTGCCCTACAAATAACATCGCATTTCTTTCTTGGCTGGCAATAAAATTAGCCACCTTCTGCCTCATTTACATTTCATCATGTTTCACCGTTTAATTTTATGACTATGCAGCTGTTATTTTGCCAAGTGGTCCATAGAATAACATACTTGCCCAGGGCTATCCAGCTTCTGTCACGTGAGCTGCAGTCCCTGGGCTGCATACAATGCAACCTGCCTCCACTTCGCATGGAAAGCTGAGGCAGCAACTCCCTTGCCCCTACATACCAGTATCCACTTGATACCATGGGCCATGCTGCCCCATGGGTGGAGGCAGGAAAAAGAAGCTGGAGGAGTGGCGGGGAGCCTGGAGTCGCTGCCCAGCACAGTAGCAGAAGGAATGGGGGAGGTGGTGGCCAGGCAGGAAATGCAAACTGGGGAGAGGGGAGTTAGTCTAACCTGGCTAGGCTGAACTGGTTTGTAACGGACATTCCCTCTGGACTGAGGAAATTCAAGCACATGCCTTCACTGGCTCAGGCTAGAAGCCGGGGGGGGGGGGGGCACTAGAGCAGCACCCCCTCCCATGCACAGTGCTGAGCTGATGGGGTGTGGCCAGGGCCCAGCAGGACCCCTGATTAGGGAGAGGTGATGCCTGCACCATCCCAGGCTTTCCCCCACTGGCTGATCATGGGGCAGAAGTGTTGTGAGACCCCAGCCCTGGGCTAGTACTGTGAGGTAAGGCAGTGGAGAGGGTGCAGTACATGTATCTGTTGATGATATGGAGCTTTTCAGTCTCCCTCTCCCTGCTTGTTTATACTGTCTGACAGGCAAACAAGCCAGCATGGAGATGATAACAGTGATTATCACCTCATCAGCAAAACAATAGGCTCTCTCTATTACTTTAAACTCTTCTTAAACAGCTTCTCGGCTGACCTGTTGATTAGGTCCAAAAAGCACTAAGCGTTCACTGTTCTGTCTGCCTGTCCCAGAGAAATTGGAGTCATACACAGACACCTCTCTGCATTAGCTAGCATACCACATGCCTAGGGTTTGTGGGGCTGGGGTCCATTCTGTCGGAGATGGAAGGGAGGGAGTGGGGGATTGGTGCTTCAGCAGCAGTGGGGGGAGGGGTTGGGTAGGGGAAGCCAGGCAGACCCTGCTGTACCTGTGATCTCTGCTGGTGCTCCAGCCAGGGAGCAGAGGGGAGGGGCCAGCTCTGTTGTGGAGCAGAGAACCCCACCCAGCACAAAGCATCCCAGAATGCTGGGGGTGTCTAGTTTATCTTAAACCAGCAAGGGGTCTGGGATGGACATTGCATAAACTGGTTTGACTCAAATCAGTTAAATCTGATGCTACATTCAACCAGGTTTATCTCAAACTGGTTTCAGCCATTTTCAAACTGGTTTATGTGCACTGAGCATTTGTTCTGTTATAGGTTTAAACCAGTTTCTGATCACTTAAACCAGTTTATGTGTAATGTCTGTCCCTAGCCCACAAGTTAATCTCTCCAGCCTGTGGACCACCAGTCGGCCAGCACTAGACTAATCAGCTCTGCTTTCTAATACTGGGTTCCTATCAATAGAGCTGTCAGAGAGTCTTGTTGTCCTGGGCATATATCCCAATATACACGCAGGCATGCACAGGTTCTGCAGGAATTAAGAATGATCACTTGATTTGCGAACTATTAAAACTTTTCTGGATGGACATATGGACAAATGACTTGGAAGCCTGTAAAATAGTTTTAGGGCATGTCTTTGACACGCATGGTCTGAAGACTGTAGAGCTGTTATTTTGTACTCTCTAACACTTTGATTGTGCCCCTAAAAATGCCTAATTATCTAAATTAAGTTGGAACCAAAATGAACTAGATTTGCACGGTGCTGCTCCTGCCACAGCTCTGCGCAATTGACTTCTGTGGCCTCACCCGGTGTGAAAAGCCAGTCAGTGTTCCAGATCCATGGTGTACCGACAGTTCTGGTCATTACTATCAAACCGTTACATTGCTATGGTCCCCAGTGTGTTGTGATCAATAACTGTTGTTTTAGATGCTTTCACTTTCTCCTGCCACTTGAAAGGGATTTCCAATCAGGAGAGAAGCTATGCTCCCTAAATGGGAAAGCTTTAAATTCATCATGTTGTGGCTTCTAAGATCTAAATATAAAATAAAGGGATTCTTTCTACTTTAGGTGAAACTGAAGTTCAGTTTTATACTATCTCCTCTCCTCTTAAAGGGATCATGTTATTTTAAAAAAAAATCTACATAGTTTCACTTTACAGATCCCTTTCTCTTATACCCCCCCCGCCCCCACCCCTGCTCTTTCTTGAATTTTTCAAATTAGCTTTCACTTTAATGCAGGAGCAGGCAATTATTTTGGGCAGAGGGCCGCTTACTTAGTTTTGGTAAGCCATCGAGGGCCTCATGACAGGCAGCCCAGGGCAGATAAATATTAATTTTCTACATTTTTTAGGGAACCCACGGGCTGGATAGAATGGCCTGGCAGACCACATCTGGCCCCCCAGGCTGCATTTTGCCCACCCCATGTTAATGCCTTCAAAACAACCTGATCCGCACCCCCCACCCCCGCCCGGAAAATCATTGCAATTTTTAGTTTGATGCATTTAAATATGAAACCATAAATGTTCCTATCTGATCTGGCAAAGCATATGCTAAATTATGACAAAAAACGATTTCCCCAAAAGAGTCTCTTTTTAAGCAATGCAAATCATATAAAAATAGTGCAGAGCAGAAGATTATCCAGAGCAATGCAAATGTATATTTTAATGGGCTGTAGCTCTTTCTGACTGACCTGTTATATAACGCTGCAGCTCAGCATGCGCACTGAAGTCCTGTTGTGCAAACTGTAGTTGCAAAGTTGTATAGAAGGAGAGCTCTCAACTTGATTAGTCAGTCTTTGAAAAACAATGAGCTGGATTCAATGAAGATGTATCAGGATGTCAAGAAGGCAGCAGGATTTTCTCCCCTGACGTCCTTGATGCACTAAAAGATGAATTGCTTGAAAGTCTCTTTGGTTTCTGGCAGGCTTCCCCCTGCTTCCCCCTCCCCTGTGCAATATTGATATCTTTTTAAAAGTACAATGAAAATGGAAAATAGTGTAAGAACAGAACCTCATGAAAAAGGATAAATATTTTTTGAAGCCAGCACACAGTACGGTATGTAAAAAGTGAAGCCCATGGATTTGAGCTACTATACCTGCACACAGGGCTGCTGTGGACAAGATGTACACGCAACACGTTATATTGTATCATGAGCACATACATGAGGGATCAGTCTGAGAACCATGTAGCAGCCAAGAAGAAAGGTGCTGTGTCTTTTTTTACTTTCTGGTATGTAAGGATTTTTTCCACTCTCTGCTTCTTTTATTTCTTGGTTTGCCACCTTGTGTGTAATGTCCTGGGAGTGGAATATCTTATGCTCTCTTCAGCCTGACGGGTTAGAAATCCTTATCTTCCCCCTTCTCTTTTTCCCACTTTCCCCCTGGGGGAAAAAAAAAAAAAAGAGTGCCAGGCTGCAGGTGAGGCTGCCTTGCTGCGGTTGAAGCTGGCCCACTATGCCAAGAAATATCTAAGACCCGTGAACCTGAGAGGGACCGAACAGAGGAAGGACCATGGCTCCAGGCTAGTGGTTGGGATGGAGACAGTCCTCTGCTGTAGTCCCTCCCAGTTATTTCTGGTTCAATTTCAATGACTGTTAAGTGTAAAACGCATAAGCAGCTGTCGCAGCAAGGACTGGAACGCCTCTCTTCTTTAGCCAGGGACCTTAGCTGCTAGGCCATACAGAGTCATGCTTTCTCTTGCACTTGTTTCCTGGCAATATTGCCATCTCCCCCTCCTTTAGACAACTGTAGAAGAAAAGAGCAAGTGCTAATATGACGTTGGTTCCCTCACTTGGGATACAATTTCAGGCTTTGGATTCAGAGTGGAAGCAGGTGTCTCATTGAAGCTCTCACTCAGGTGCCTGAGCTCTAAGGGGAGGTAGGAGGCAATTTCTTGTACCTATTGTTTCCTGTAGACGAGGTCGACTGGAGTCCTTGTTCGGTGTGTAGGTTTTTGAATTACCCTTCTGAAGTGCCTACCTCTGTTTACATGATGTACAGGAAGCCACTGTGCCTAACTCTGGGCTTTGGACTCCAGCCCGGGGGCCAGGCACTGGAAAGTTTGGCACTGAATTGCCAAATCCTCACTGTGACTGAAGTCCTTCACAAAGGCTTCCTCAATGTATTTGCAGTGGTCACAATGCTTAGGAGGAGCTGCCAATGCAGAAGATTTTTGGCTGGAGATTTTAGACACAGACTCATGTAGCTGAATCCCCAAATGTTGATGAGGCTTGTAAATACAATAAGAAAAAACTTCCGTAGTCTCTGAGCACTCATTTCTCTCCCCACTGAAAATATGAAACTGTTATAGAATTTCAACGCTAACGTCTTAGAAGCCCCAGAAAAATAATGACCCAAAAACAATTACCAAAATGAATGTAAAGGGATCTTAAAGTGATACAATAACCATATACTGAACAGTGTTATTTTAATTTCTGTATTTTAAATTTACAAAGAACCGTACTCTAATGGAACAGAATTGAATATTCAGAGTAAGTAATCAAATATGTATTGCAAACACTTTCATTGT